ACATGCATACAGAAGACAAATGTACGTGGTTCACCCGAATGATGGGCTACGTCCACGGAGAAGTATGTTTTCATTATGATAATGTGTGTATACATTGTACATAGGGTTAGACCCAAGGGGAAGAGGAAGAATACCGAAGGTTGAAGGCAGATGCTGAAGGCCGAAGGCTGAGGATCTGGCTGATGGCCGATGATCCGTGGGCTTGTAAATGGGCTCATGGGTAAACCTATAGGGCCCCAGTAGCCTGCCCAACTCCTCTTTTCTTTCTCCTCCCTTTCTTGAAGGGGAGAGGTCTCCTTTTATAAAGAAGGGAGAGTCTCCTCCTCTTGTGTTTTGTCGATGTGGGACTCCCTTCCCTTTGGCTTGGGAGTGTTTGGGAGTGCTTGGCCAGATATTGTACAAACAAGAGTAAATCAGTAATTCAATAAATACTTTTATAGTAGGATGTACTCAGTTAATTTTAGGGTTCATTTAGTAGCACTCATTTCATATTAAGAATTGGTAACAAACTTCTAATCTAGGTGGTTGGATTGCATTCATTAAATGTGTTGTTAATCTCATAGATGCAATTCAATGACCGAAATTAAAAGTATGTAACCAATCATTAACTTAAATACTTATTTGAGAATGTCTCTTATTTATTATGAACAATATACCTAGTTTTTAAAAGAAAAAAGTAAACAAACACCGCCTATATTTTGAACCAAACAAAAAATAAAGTTTCATTCAATTGAATTGAACCAAACACCGCCACCTACTCATTTCTTGATTGGAGCGGTTCATTTTCTTCTTTAAATGTCATTTGTTTTCTCTCTCCTCTCTCTGTCTCTCTCTGTCTCTCTCTATCTCTCTATCTCTCTCTCTCTCCACTCTAGCAACCCTTCAAGAAGACCTAGGCTCCACTCTCACACCCACTCTCAACTGCACTGCCTCTTTGTTTCACATTTTCTCTCCCAAAGTTTGAGCTTCACTTCCTGGTAAGGGTTTGCAATTTTTATTTTATTTTATTTTATAAATGTTTCTTATGTTGCTTTCCTTGATCTTGATTTATGATCTGTGATGTTTGATTGTGTTTTTCTTTATATTTGAATCCATTTATTTTGTTTAATTTCTTTCTTGATCCATGCTGTTGTGTAAATTTTCTATTTTGATTTCATTTAAGAGTTTATTTAGAAAAATTTATCCAAAGAGTTGAGAAACGCAACGTTCTTTGCTCGTATTTCGTGAAATTCTCTCTATAGCTCTCTGTTTCTATGCTTGAGTTGAAATCTGAAGACCGAAGGGTAAGATGCGATAAATTCATGTTATCAAAACCACAAATTTATGCAAAATGGTAGATCTTTCGAAATGTCGTCATTTAGTTTGTAATCTGTTTATATTGAGATGCTTCAACTTTTCTACTAATATATTATGATTTTTGGAAACAAACTTAATGAGTTGGTTCAATGCTTCGGTATTGTTATTTTTATTGAACAGAGTGCATATCTAAGTTATCTTCTGTTCTCATTCTTACTCCTTGTTCGTATTATTACATTCATGGCTTACTGATAACAAGCACCAAAGCACCTCAATCTGTTCAAAGAAACAAACAGATTTTTTTTACTAAAAGTACCTCAATTTTTCAGTGTTTCAGCTCTAGAGTTTGGAGTGAAGATGTTGCAGCTGCTATACGGGGTCATTTTCGGGGAAATGTTCCTGATTTTGACCTTGTTGTTTAAGAGCCCTCTGAGGAAGCTTGTGATCCTGGCCCTGGATAAGATGAAGCGAGGGAAGGGCCCAGTGATGGTGAAGACGGTCGCTGGGACTGTATTTGCTGTTCTCCTGGCCGGCGTCTACAATCTGGTTGACATCAAGAAGCGAACCATTGAGTCTGGGGTGCTCAACCCTACGGATGAGGTTCTCATGTCCTTGAAAATGCTTGAAATCTCTCTCATGGGTATTTTTCTTAAACTTTTAAGATTAGTTTTCAAAAACTGGAATCTGGCTTATATATTGCGAATCTAGCTTTTCATCTTCTTCTTCTGTTTTTTAGTTATTGGAATTGGGTGTACTTGTTATGAGTTCTCTCTTTAACTGTTAAGTGTATTCCATGTGACAAGTTGGTGCTCTCTTGATGGTTGAGCTCATATTTCATGAAACTGGGAAGAAATGGATTGATTATTCGTATGGAGAGTTCATAGCTAGCATATGAAGCATCTGCTTTGCCCTTAGTGTTTGACTTTCATCGGCTTGAGCATGAAACATATTGGTTCAACCAGTTATGAAGTTGAGTTGGGTCTCAAACAGCAGAAGTTTTGGTTGCTTGTTTGCCAATATTGTCCAATATTATAGATTTGCTTCTTTTAACTTTGTGAACTGTCTTCCCTGTCGGAAGAAGAAATGTTGCCTATGGAATACATAAATGTCTTCGGACATATGGTTGCCTTCGGAATGTCTCCTTTTTGTTAGGAAAACTTTTGGTTATCTGATGCAATGGCTATTAAGATATCTTTTTAAAAGACATCTTAATGGCCCCTGCATCAGATTACCAAAGTTTTTGCTCATGTTATTTATAATTTGAGTAATTTCTGTTTAGGGTAATGGTATATTAGCTATCATACTGGTCATTGTATTTTATTATATTATTCGTTTGATTCATATCCTTCAAAACTGACTTCAGTCTTATCAAATGCAGGGTTTTTAATTTTTCTTGCACTGATGTTAGATAGATTGCACCATTACATAAGAGAACTTCGATTCCTCAGGAAGGCCATGGATGCTGCAAAAAAACAAAGCCAAAGTATTCAAGAGGAGAAAAATGGAAGTTCAGAGCAACTTAAGACCTTGGCACAAGAGAATGACACATTGAGGACAAAGATAAAGAATCTGGAATCTGAATATGAGACAAAAGCAAAGAAGGCGAAGGCGGCGGGAAGTGAGGTAGAGGCCCTAAGAAAGCAATCTGAAGGACTCCTTATGGAATATGACCGCTTGCTGGCAGACAACCAAAACCTCCGGAGCCAGTTAACATCGATTGAGCAAAGCACACCCCACTCTGATGACAAAAAGAACACATAAGGGAGTGGTTACTTGGTAAAAATTCAGTCATCTTTGTCAATATCTAGCTCTATGAGGGTACTTTAATTCTGGGATTGAAACAGAAAAGAATATGACTGCAGTTATGAAATGGGACCAATACTTATATATAGTCAAATGATGCAAGAATTTTGTTAAATTTTTGGTTCTCTTAGATAAAGATTGCTGTGTGATATGCGTTTTAAATAGGTGACATGCTATTATCATCTGCATAATCTTCCAGGTGGGTGACTGGATGGGGCACAGCACAAGCTCAAACTATATTTTCAGAACTAAACTTGTGAAACCGCTGAAGTAGGCTGATTCTGAGTGGTTCCTTATTGCTTTTAGCCACTCTCATGGACAAAATCCCAAAGTCCAGACCCACTGGCTGTATTGAAACCAACCCAGTAACTTCCCAAACCAATATGCAGTTACTTTTATTTTTCAGACTTTTTGTCTCCATGAGCCATGCCCTACATTATATTTTTGCCTCCGGCGTTTTAACAGATTTTCATCCCTCATTGTAGCAATAAAAACTTGCATACACCGGGGTATATACCTCTCTCTTCCTTGGTATACACTCTCCTAAGTCTAGCTAGCAGTAACAGCTAACATGACAGAAACTCACTCTCTCTATTTGATCCCCACGCCGCTCAAATCCGACATAACCCACTGCCCAGATCCACCAAGCCATCTATACAGATACGAATCTTGGGGGGTTTTTACTCTATTTTAATTCAGTTTAATAAAGTTAATGAATCAACACATAAAATTCAGATTGATTACTCGTGAAATTGCAGTAGTTTTGGCTCGCAAGAATTGACCCAGCCTGCAGTGAGAAGAAGGAAGAAGAAGAGTGCAGAATAGGAGGGATAAGGGGTGTCATTTGGGAAAAGTAGTAAGGGCGTTATGGGTAATATGAAAAATTCATTAAACCCTCCCCATACTTCTCCGCGAAGTAGTTTTTAGAAGCGTCCTCTCACCTGCTTCTAAAAACCGCTGTGAGTGACCCGCAATTTTGAACAAAAGCAGACTATTCCTGTGGCCTTGAAACATGGTCTTTTGAGAGCTAAAGAGTTGAATTTGGTTAATGTTGTGGTGGAATCTGATTCTCAAGTGGCTATTGATTCTGTTAAGAGGGATGTTTCTTCCTGTAATTGGAAGTTGTATCCTATCCTTAAGGATATTAAGTTTCTTAAAGCCTATTTCACAAATCTGAATTGGTCATGGGTGCCTAGTGAAGCGAACCGGTCTGCGGATGCCGTTGCCTCGCTTGCTAGTAAGGGGATGTGCTTGGAGTCGTGGCTTGTGCGACCTCCATCCTCTCTAGTTCATATTTTATCTCGGGATGGTCTCCCTTGCTCTCCGCCTGGTGCTTAATCTTCTGTTGTGTGGTTTTTTTTGTTTGTTTTGTTCTTTTGGTATTTTTGCTTCCTGTTCTTGTTTCTAGTTCTTTGGTATGGTGTGTCTGTCCTGTTTGTTTGGTTGGGGTTGGCTCCCCTTTCGGCCTTTGCCCGTTGGCTTTTATAAAATCTTTGTTGACCCAAAAAAAAAGAGCACCAAATGTTCAAAGACTTTAAAACGAAGCTGCTCTTCTAGAAGCACAGCAATCCCATTATAAATAGAAGCCATAACCCCGACTGAGAAACTCACAAAGCACTTCATCTCCCTAGCCTACTTCTTGGTTGCCCAACTAGCTGCCATATCCACCAATGGCATTAAACTTCGTACCAAAGCTACTATTAGTTCTAGCCTTCGCTGCTTTTTCAACCGGAGCTAGAAGAAGTGAGCTTGAACTCAAAGAAACCCATATGTCCTTGTTCTTCCATGACATAGCCGCCGGTCCAAATTTCACACTAATTCCAGTTGCCGGTATTGCGGGCAAGCTTTGGACCTTCGCTCAGTTTGGAACAGCTTTTGTGACAGACGATCCTCTAACCGAGACCCCTGATCGAAACGCACCCATAATTGGGAGAGGCCAAGGCATTTATGTGACGTCAGGGCTGGATGGACGTAACACCCATGTCTTGATATCCATTGTGTTCACCAACAAGAAGTACAATGGCAGCACACTGGAGATACAAGGAACCAGCAAGCAGTTCGAGAAAGTCAGAGAGGTTTCAGTGGTGTCCGGTACCGGACAGTTTCGGTTCGCCAGGGGATACGCGACGTTCGAGACGTATCTTTTGGATCCGGCAACTTTCTACTCCGTGGAGAGGTGCAACGTTACAGTGCAACACTACTAGAAGATGATGTTTGTTTGTAGGTTTAGAAAATGGGGTGAATAATAAACAAATATGGAGCTGTTCATGTTTGTATGGATGCTCTGGTGGTGATTTATAATTTGTAGATTGTAGATCTCTGACTCTTTGTTTACCTGTAATCCCCCACATGAATTTGGATACGAATAAAGTTGCTTGAACTTGTGTTTTTTCCTGTCAAATGGGAGGGATATCATAGAGAGGGTGCCAAAAGTTATAACCGCTGGGCCACACCCACACCGGGACACAGCCGTTGTTGACCGCAGCCAAGGCTTTTCTTTGACAGCTGGGCTAGACGGTCGCAACACCTACATGGCTGTGGAAGCAAAAATTACTCCTCAAGATATTATTCACTAGCACCCTAAACTTGGAGAAGTGACAATCAAGAGACATGTTTTCCTATCATCTATCCATCATCACACATAGGTACTGACTCAGAATTTAAAAATAGGGTGAACTAAATTTACCTTACATACAAACATACTGAAAGATAGAAAACTTGACGGTACAAGTGAATTTCATTGATAACAAGTAGTTCCAAATTTCTAATTAAAAAATAAATAAATAAACCTATGTAAATCTAGCAACATAGAAAAATTGAAGTAGGAATTTTAAGGTCAATTATAGCAATTACACATAAACTTCTCCCTGAAAGGAAAAAAATTGAAAGCATTTATCCATTACAAAAGAAGAAGAAAAAAAACTGAACCATTTTAATCCATCTAGCCATTCAAGCCAACTTGGAAAATAAAATTGAAAAGAAGGTATTCAAGCCAAGGTAAAGGATTTTCTCTGAGGGAATGAAACAGGTGTTTTCTTAAAAAGGGTATGTGTCACATGTGTGAGGTTAGTTTATGTTTTTCTTTCTATCAGACTTGTGGGGTTGGTTAACTAAAGAAAAAAAATATGAGATTTTATGTGGGTGGGATGGGGGTGTGTGTGTCTGTCTGGGGTGTAAAAAATAAAGTTACCTAGGCTGTCTATTAACTTCGGGCTATAAAAAATAAAGTCACCTGGACTGTACGTAGGACCCCAGATCTCATATAAATGAAATCATGGGACTAGTGGGACTTGATGGCCAAGACCTACCAAGGCAAACATGTCCTATGCCCAAGATCAAAGGCTAGCATGTTTCATGCCACATGGCAAAGCCCACATGATCACCCACTACCATGCCCATGATGGAGTAATTGTGGATCGTGAAGAAAACTGTGGAACATGGAACATGGAGCCCAAAACTCGAAGGGAAAAATCAGGTAACAATACTATTCTAACTTTCCTGCAATTATCTTGGACTCCTACGGACTCAAGTGAGTGTTTTCTTATGGGTACCCTCCTCCTCCCTAATTGATAGCAATCGAAACGGTATTCAGTTTCTCAACATGGACTACAAGATTACTTGTTGGATGATCCAAAATTTTTCGCTCCAACAGTGGCGTTATTGATTGTGTGCACTAACAACAAGTACAATTGCAGCACACTTGAACTACAAGGAAACAGTAAGCAGTTGGAGCCAGTTAGAGAGCTTGCAGTGGTATCAGGTACTGGGAAATTTGCTACCCTTGAGAATTAGTTATTGGACAATCCAATTGGCTACTCAGTTGTAAAATGGAACGTTACAGTGCAACATTATTAGAAGATCATGTTTATGATCCTTGGTTGGAAATATATGGCAAAATTAATAAATTATTAGTTGCAGTTCTTGTTCTTGTAATTTGCAGGTCAACCTTTGAGATACCAATATAGGGGCATAATTTAATTGATACATTTTGTGTCACTTGCTTGTGAGATGGAAGTATTCAAACTAGATGTATGCATTTGTCCAGCCTCGTAATTTATAGTTTTAGCGGGATGTGTAAACTGCAATATGTATGACTGTTACCAAATTTAGTTAGTCAAATTCCAACGTTGATATGCTCACCAAATCTGAGACTGACTGCTCGATGTGGTAGCATCGACTTTTGTAACGATGAAGATTAATAAGCCTGTCAGTCCATATAGTTGTCCCTATACCAGTAGAAAATTCAGCAGCATAGACTCCATTTTAGTTGATTAGTCATGTCCTGCCCATTTTAAGTAGTTTCTTATTATTTTGTTGACCAAAAAATTCCTTTTATGCAGCCCCCTTTGGTTCCAGGGATTTTCCCTCGTAACTAACCGGGTGACTCTCTCTCCCGTCATATTGTAGAGATATTTTTCTCCGCAGTTTTATGATGAGTTTTGGTTCTCCTCAGTTCTTTTGGATTGGCTTTTAAAATCTTTTATGCTATGGAGGTAGAGTTGCTAGATCTAGATGGATCTTTCATACTGGGTGCTGTGAGATCATGTGGGATACTGGTGTTGTGGCCTTATATGGCCAAGTGGATGTTGAGCGGTAAGGCCCTTTCACTTTTGGTGCTTCTGGTTCCATGTTCATACAGAATCAGTTATTCTCGTGGTCTCTCTATAGCACTTGTGCTTTAAAGAGTCTTCTTGATCCTCTATTTGTCAACTCTAAGTGAGCAGAGCTTGAATTTGTAATAGTTATTACTCAAGGTCTTGCTGTATTTATTTTTTTTGATTTATTGTATGCAAGAACCTCCATTTGAGATGTGTTTCTCTTTGTATTTTCCTTTTTATTAACGAAATTTTGTTTGTTCTAAAAAAACAACCACACAATCCACACCCACTACAAAGTCAATAGAGTGCAAGAGTTAAATGTAGTCGTATTCATATTATAAGCCCAGAAGGAAATATAATCTTAGAGGAGATTAAAGATTCTATACGGCACATGACTTAATTATGTTGATATCCCGTATAGACCTCAAAGCTAGAACTTTTAATTATGATTTTAGTGCTCCATAGTCCATATGCATGGTTGACTAAGAATAAATTATTTCTCTGTGTTCATATTATAAATGGAAACCAATACCCTCCCTCAAAATCACAAACCAATCCCAAAAGCACCTTATCTTCCAATAGCCTAATTCTTGGTCGCCCAATTTTCAGAAGCCCCTTGTTTATCTAGCAATGGCATCAAACTTCATACCAAACCTCAGTGACTTCACCTTTTCACTTCTACTGGTTCTAGCCATGGCGCCATTTTTAGCCCAATCCAGTGAGCTCAAAGAAACCCAATTGGTCTTGTACTTCCAAGACAACGTCTCTGCTGGTCCAAATGCCACAAGCTTACCAGTTGCAGGTATTGCAGGCAAGCTTTGGACCTTCACTCAATTTGGGACAGTTTATGTCACCGACGACCCATTTACCTCAGGCCCGGAACCAAACTCCTCCTCCATAGGCCGGGCCCAAGGCATAACTGTAGCAGCAGCCCTGAATGGACGCAATTCCCTTGTCTTGGTATCACTTGTGTTCACAAACCAGGAGTACAATGGCAGCACACTAGAGCTACAAGGTAACAGCAAGCAATTTGAGCAAGTCAGAGAGGTGGCAGTATTATCTGGTACCGGAAAGTTTCGATTCGCTAGGGGATATGCTACGTTCGAAACATATTTCATGGACCCTGCCACTTTCTACTCCGTCTTGCGATGCAACGTCACAGTGCAACATTACTAGGATATCGAAGTTTATGGGTTAGAGATGACGGGATATAAATAATAAGCATGTTTTCCATTGTATGATGGCCTAATATTTACCAATAAAATACCCTAATTTTGTTGTGTACTAATTTTTTTCCCTAGGGTACTAATTTTCAACGCGTAGCATATACCCAAAAAAATTGTGCAATGTCTAAATGGCGGGTCCAAACATCCAAAAAGATATTCAAGTTAATTGAAAATATGACAAGAGGTTATAAGTCAAGCGAATAAAAACAGTTAGCCTTGCATTCGAGATTTTTTTTTTTTGGAATTATCTTGCTCTAATATGGCTGACATAAAAATAAAAGAGTTATTCACACTAACATCTCCAGAGGTTTTAAGTGCTTTCACAAACTCCCTGAGGTTTCAAGAATTACACAAACACTCCTTGAGGCACTAGCGAACTCAATACATGCCTACTGTGCCCACACTTAAGTGTTTTCTTCACCCATCTAGCCAAACACTTTTCCAATAAAAACAAGACACTTGGCTAATATTTTGCATGTAAAATCCCCACTCAGCACCCAAAATAAGTAAAGCCTTCAAGGTTTTAGCCTAAAACCTCTCCAATATTGAAAATATCAAAGCCCAAGACTTAATCAACATGTGGTCCAATATATAAAGCCTTAGATTTTGGCCCAAAATCATATATTAAAAAATTATTGAAATAGATTATGTGTTATAATATATATCGTATTGCCATGAAAACCTAGATTTTGCAGGAGTCAGCTATGAAATTGTTTTTTACGCCCTCAGATGGACAAAAGTTTGAGTCCACCGCTGCCTTAAAGTTTCAAATTATTTTCACAAAATCCATTTTCATTGAAATTTTATGAAAAAATAGAAAACCTCAAGAGGTATTTACTCAAAAGAAAAAAAAAAGTTAATTGAAAATACCAAGATATACAGAGTACCGAAACGAACCACCAAACGGCCCAAACGGGCGCCAACATACCACAGAGTGGGTGCGATTTAAATCTTTCCTAAATGGAATTTCGTATTTCTTTGTTTGGGTCGTCTTTTTAATTCTAGGGTTTGGCCGTTTGGCGCTAAAAGTTAAAAGGATGTTGCAGCTGCTGCTTTGCGCGGCGATCTTGGGCGAAATAGCGCTGATTCTAGCGCTGTTGTTGGAGATCAAACTGGCGGAGCCGGTGATGATAGCGGTGGATCGCTTGAAACGAGGGAGGGGCCCACTCGTTGTGAGGATCATCGCTGGTTCGGTGTTGTTTGTGCTAGTGGCCAGGGTCTACGGTACGATCAACATCATCAAACGAACCACCATGTTCAATCCGAGTGTTCTCATGAACATGCTCCAGATTTCTCTTACGGGTAACTTATTTTTCCTTTAAATTTTTTTTTTTTTTGTTTTGAGATTAAATTTTCAGAAATTGATGGTATGAAGCTTAGGAAATCAAATTATAGGGAAAGCCAAGAACTTGAACCAGGCTTTCTAGTATTCTATAGAGAAATTGATAGCAGGATTTAGCTTAGGAAACATGATAGGGAACCCATTTCACTTGGAATGGGATTCTGTACGTGTAACTCTCTTAGCCTCTGAGTAGAGCTGGGATTTGGGGCATTCGCAGAGGAGAGAGAAGGAAGAGAGAAATGAGAGAGAAGATATTTACAAAATTTCCCTTGAAAGGGGTATGTGCACATCGAATGTCAAAATTTAACAGAAAAGTGGACGGTGCATTTCAACTTTTCCAAAGTTCAAAGGGGTATTGAGAAGATTTTATTTCCTTTCCAGGGACAAAGTGCAGCGTGCACTATAATTCAGGGGAATTTCTTCTAGTTTTATGAACTTTTCTCTCCCTCCTTCTCTAAGAAAAATGCCATCTTGTGTGTGGGGCGATAAGATATCCTTCTGCTTTTTCTATTTACAATCTTAGTTTATTTTGTGCTTGTGTGCTCTTGGTAATGGTATATCACAATGTATGCTTTCTTAATTTGATTGACTGTTTGATTAGTTTGTTCCTTCAAATTGATTTCCACGTTATCGAATGCAGGATTCTTGCTGTTTCTTTCAGTTATTTTGGATAGATTGCATCATTACACGAGAGAAGTTTCTTTACTCAGGACTGAAATGGAGGCTGCACAAAGAGAGAACCAAACTTTTCAAGAGGAGAAAAACGGAAGAGCCCTGGNCGGAAGAGCCCTGGCGCTTAAGATCTTGGAACAAGAGATTGCTAAATTGAGGACAAACATCATGAATACGGAAACTGAATATGAGACGAAAGCAAAGGGGGCAAAGCTGGAAAAAACCAAGGTATATGCCTTGAGAAAGCAATATGAAGGACTCCTAGCGGAAATTGATCGCGTGCAGGAAGACAACCAAATTCTTCGAAGCCAGCTAGAATGGGTAGATCTAAGCTATGATGACAAAACGAAACACGCAAGGAAGCGATTACATTAGCAAATTTTATTCATATGCATATGTGAGGGTTTTTTAGACGCAGAATTGAGGCAGAGAAAGAGGATAAGTGCACCCATATGTATATAAAGCGTAGGAATTGAAGCAAGGAATTTGTGTAGTTTCGAATTCTATTAGTTCTGCTAATGTAAAGATTGCTCAAAGCATTGAACCCATTTCAAAATGTTAACATGTGGATCTCTCTTATCACAAAGCCAAAATGAAATGAGTATCAAAACCAGTTTTTTGACCTTTTTTGTTGAGGGGTAAAATTGGAATTTTGGGAAAATGCATAAAACTCCTCTGCTTCTATAAAAACAAGCAGTTTTTCAATTTTCACTCTCCGACCTCAGGCTCTCTCTTGCCCGAGATTTTAGATTTTGGGTGTAAGCGTAAAGGCAAAAGGATGGTGCAGCTGCTTTTGATTTTAGGGCAGGGGTTGGTTTATCTGCTCTACGCACTGATTTTCAGCGAAATGGTGCTGATTATGACGTTGCTGTTTGATGCTCCTATGACGAAAACAGCGATCTTGGAGTTGGATAGTTTGAAGCTAAACCAAGGAAAGGGTCTATTGATTGTGAAGATTGTCACTGGAACTCTGTTTCTGGTTTTAATGGCTAACTTCTACAGTCTCCTCCGCATAACTATGAAGAACCGAACCAACGAGGGCGGTGGGTTAAACCCAACAGAGGAGGTTCTCAAGTCCATGAACATACTACAAATTTCTCTAATTGGTAATTTTTCTTTTCGAATTTTACTGGGTCTCTTGTGAAATTCTGGATTTTGTTATTGTTCTTTTTGGGTTTTACTTTGTTTACGTCAATCAGTTTTAAAGTTTCGATTTTGGTTCTGCTAATTTGGAATATTCAATCAAATTTTATCAGTTTTTCACTGGGGACATTTGACAAACACCTTCTGATCATATGCAAACTCTGTGTTTACTCAGCATGAGTTTGGTATTGTGCTACGTTATTAATCATCTACTACTAGTTTTATGAAACTCTCTGCCTCCTTATTGGTAGACAAAACCTTTGGCCATCTCAGCTTTATAGATAAGTTTGTGCTTGTATGGTATTGGTCTATGTCACAACGCATTTTGCGTACAGCATATATGTGAATTCTGTTCTCTGATTTTTCTTAAATAACCATTTGTGAATTTTGTTTCCCTCAAAAATTGATTTTCAACCTTGTTCAAAATGCAGGGATTGTGCTGTTTCTTGTACTGATGATAGATAGCTTGCACCATTACATAAGAGGACTTCCTTCACTCGTGATGGCCATGGAGGCTGCAAAAACACAAAACCAAAGTTTTCGAAAGGAGAAAACTGAAAGTGTACAGAAGCTTAACACCATGGTACAAGAGAAGGATACATTGAGGACAAAGCTCAAGTATCTGGAATCTGAATGCGAGAGCGAAGCAAACGAGGCAAACAAGGCAAGAGCCGAGGCAGATGCCCTAAGACAGGAATCTGAAGGATTCTTAAAAGAATATGATCGATTGCTCGCAGACAACCAAAATTTTCGGAACCAGTCGAAATTGGTTGAACAGAGATTCACCAAGCAAAGCATATCACACCCTAATGACAAAAAGAACTTGTAAGGGAGTTGTTAGTTACTTTTTTTCTTCTTAACTTTTTGTATATACCTCTTTCAGGATGCTATAGTAGGCAGAGAAGAAAATGAGTGCACTTGTGCAATTGGACCAATATTTGTATGTAAAGATACCCAAATGATGCAACAATTGAGTTGATAGAATTTGGGTCTCTTAGTAGAAACATTGCTCTTTGTTCATATGACAAATACAAACCATAACCATAACTCAATGAACTTCACAATTCACAAAGCAATTTCAAAAGCATCTATGGGTGTACACATGGAACATTTGCATTCCTACATTGTTACTTATAAAGAAAAAAAGAACTTTCCTATTGAGAGGGCCGGCGATAATACATTGTTACTTATTTGTTTATGCTTTTTGGTAAATACATGTCATTTTTTCATTGATTTTGCCAAACCGACAATTCAATGGAATATAAATAAATTCATGTTTGACATATTTTCATTAATTAACTTTTTTTTATTTGTTTTAACAATAATAAGAACTTGAAAATAATTATTTAATTTGATTAGTATGTTTGCGTAAGTAGAAAAAGTTTTCTAAATAAGTAAACTAATCTATGTATTTTATCAAGTCGAATTCGATTAATTCTAACCCTTAATCTTTGAGATCTATGATGGTCTCAGCTTTACCGATGAAATACTCAAAAGAATCAAACGGAGGAATCTAATCTCAGCAAATTATCTTGTATTGAATAATCAGAACAACCTCACATGAAACACCCATCATCACTTTATAACGTTCTCATAAACCAAACCCAGATAACAACATGAATCTTGTGTTCAAATTCAATCGTTGTTTTACTGTAACGTCGGTTTTCCAGTAGAAATTTGACAACTTTAACCGTCTCCTTCTCCATAAATTAAGACCATTGCATGAACCAACCCAGTTGCGCAAAGAAAATTTTATTCACTCAACTCTTTCTGCTGCTCAATTTTGTTGTTCTGCACTCATGGCATTGAACCCATTTTCAAGACCCACCAAACTCATGTCCTTTTCATCAATATTGCTTCTATTAGCCATGCTCATGCCTCTAGCCAAGGCTCAGAGTCCTAGAGAAACCACCATAGTGTTATACTTGCAAGACTTGGCATCTGGGCCAAATGCCACTGTTGTCCCAATCACTGGCATCCAGGGCAAGCCTCAATCTTTCACCTCATTCGGCACCATTTTCGCCGTTGACGATATCATCACAGAAACCCCGGATAAAGTGTCAGCACAAATCGGTCGAGCTCAAGGCATCCTAGTGGCCTCATCCTTGTCTGGCTCCAATGTGCATGTTTCAATGTCACTCGCATTCACCAATGTGGAGTACAACGGTAGCAGCCTTGAGATACAAGGCATCAGCCGCCAGTTTGAGAGGTATAAAGAGGTCTCAGTGGTTTCAGGCACTGGATCATTCAGATATGCAAGGGGATATGCTACTCTTGAGACAGTTTTCTATGACAATAAGACCTCCTACTCGATCATTCGATGCACCGTTAGGTTGCTTCCAAACATTCAATAGTTGCAGTCACTTTGAGAAATGATTGTATTTTAGCTTTGAGCATGCAAGAAATTGATGAACATCTCTTTTTTTGGTGGCTCATAGAAATAATATTGGACCTTCCTTTTTAGCCAAAATAGAACTCAAACTACTTCTTCTAGTCTCTTTGATTGAGCACATCCTACAATTGGCCCCAACAAAATCCATCTTGGAACTAATTTATTTTGGTCTTTATACAAATATATTTATATTAGGGTCTGTTGCAGGCGTGGTGCATTATTGCTTAAACAATTCTCAACTAGAAAGGAAGTAACAAGGAAGTAAAACAGAAGCTAAATAGTTGATATAGCATCAATAATTGCTCCTTTTTCATAATTTAAATTGAAAACCATAACTCAACATCACAAAGCAATTTCAAAAGCTAGCTCCTTTTCTTCTTAACCTGTTTTCTTGGTTGCTCAATTAGCTCCCATCAACCAATGGCATTAACCTTCATACCAAATCTCAGTGCTCTATCCACAATGTTCCTAATGGTTCTAGCCGTGATTACATCTTTGGTCCTAGCCAGTCATGAGGTCAAAGAAACCCAACTTTCCTTCTACTTTCAAGACATCTTCGCGGGTCCGAATGCCACAGACATACCATTTGCAGGTATTTCCGGCAAGGCTTGGACCTTCACTCAATTTACCACACTTTACGCCATTGATGACCCTGTAACGGAAGGCTCACACCCAAACTCAGCATCCGTTGGCCGGGTACAAGGCACGTCCATGGCATCAGCATTGGATGGACTTAATGCTCATGTCTTGTTTTCCATTGTGTTCACAAACAAGAAGTACAATGGTAGCACTCTACAGATACAAGGGATTGATAAGCAATTCGAGCCAGTCAGAGAATTATCAGTGGTTTCAGGTACTGGAAAATTTCGATTTGTTAGAGGATATACTACTTTCGAAACGATTTCCGTGGACCTTCCAAGCTCATATGCAGTTATACGATGCAACATTACGGTGAAACACTACTAGAACATCATGCTCTTCTTTGTATCAGATCGGATGCTTTGGTTTGTAATAATTTAATTTGTAGCTCAACCCTTGAGGCTTGAGATATATGCTGCTGGCCTCATCTGTGTTCAGTTATCTGCAAAGCCTACCAATAAAGTACTCATAAGAATAAAAACAGAGTAGTTTAATTTCAACAATTATCTTGTATTAACGTTTTACTACAAGGGTTTTCTAGCAGAAAATTAATTGAGAACTTTAAAACCTTCTCTTTCTCCTCCGTAAATTAAAAACATTGCATGAAGAAACCCAGTTGCACAAAGAAAATTTCAATCACTCAACTCTTTTTGCTGCTCAATTTTGTTGCTCTCCACTAATGGCATTGAACCCATTTTCAAGACCCATGTGTGTTATTCATCAATGTTGCTTATGAGTTATAGCCATGCTCATAGCTCTAGCCAGGCAGAAAAATTTACTTGTAACGGATATAGCACTATTTTGTTATTCCCGGCCAATAACACAATGATACGTGAAAAAGTTATCTCACGTGTCATTGCGTCAATAGCCAAGGATAACAAAAAGTGTCATGCTGCATGAAAGTCTTTCGCGTAGGCTCAAAGTCAGAAAAAATAGTGGACTTTCCTTTTTGGCCCAAATAGAACCCAATCTACTTCTATAATTGGCCCAAACAAATCCATCTTGGACGTCTTGCTTGAAGGTGGCAATCAGGTAATGCAAGTGAAAGGGATGTTTAATAATTTATATGGAGAGTTTTATAATCTCAGAAACTTCAAAGCATTAACAAATGGATGGTAGATTAGTATTGAATTGGAAAGTTCTGGTGCTATCAGACCCTTTCTCTGGCCACATAGAAAACTTTAGGCCACTTCCACTTGGAAGAACTCTATCCACCCAAATATTTGTTATGTGTTATCCGAATCTTAATAGCATAATCGATCAGTGTTGTTCCATGTTCTTTGAAGGAGAGTATTGTCAATAATATTTATTCCAACACGGAGAACAGAAATCTGGTTCGAGTTGTAAATGTTGGGTTCCGGCTTACCAAATACCGACTTAACTAGGCCATCTATTCTTCTGACAGTTGCCTCAACAGTAAATAATGACTTGAAATCTCAGTTTCCTAGCCACTTGCATTTGAGGAACTATACCCAATTTAAGCAGCAGTTGGCGGAAGGGAATTAAAAACACCAATGTTTGGCACCCTTCTTTACCTACCAAACAAAGAAACTAAGCAGAAAGGATGATGGGTTTTTATCTTTGATACCAAGAATTATGCCTTCGCTATGTCATGACTCATGGGAATTAAACCAAACTAACGCTAATAGGAACTAACATAGCGGAAAAGGATTTTGACTTGTAGACCAGTGATTTCAGGTTCGAACTCACATGACATTTTCGCTGTGTGTGTAAGGAAACTCCCCTTCCATTTCTAACTTTGGCAACAAAAAAAAAAGAACTGACTCACCAAACACATATGGGGCCTACTAGCAATTGAGAGGGCTCACCATCCACTTTATAACAGTAGAACAAAAGAATAGAGGAAAATAAGGAATTTATGATTACTAAAAACTTGATATTGAAGGAAATAACAAACTGTCTCTGTCTCTCTCAAAAATCAAATTGCTCAAACCTACACTCCTGTTATTCATGGTTTTTTGGCAGTCCCCTAAAATATCTAAATTAATTCTACAGCTATTATTGCTATCTAAGAAATTGAACAACTCCTCCTCCTCCTCCTCCTCACTACCTACAGCTTCAGGCCTTTCCAGTTGTTGTACATCACAATTAACTAAAACCCTTGCCAACCCACCAATCACATCAACATCATCTTCAGCTTCAGCATCATTGGCAATACCAATACTGTTGCTTTCCTCACAATCATTCGCTCTAACTGTGATCCAAGTCTCATCCAAAGCCCACCAGGGATACCCTGAAGACAAGGACAACCGTCTGATCCTGTGATCAGAGGAGGAATTTTCAAAAATTGGGAACTGAACAAGATTGCCCAAAGTTTCTGATTCTTCTAAAGAGTTCCATATGCCTTGATCAAGAATACTTGTTGGAGAAAATGAAGTGGATTCTTGAACCTGCTTTGCACTAGAAGTAATTATAAGTTCTTCCTTTTCCTCAAGAAATGGATGCTTTAGAAGTTGACTAGCCGTCCAACGCTCTGTTGGGTCCCTCCTCAAACACTTTCCCAAAAATTCCTTTGCTTGATCTGAGAGGAAGCTTGGAATCTCAGGCACTTCACCAGAGTATGCAATTTGATACAGAACACTTACTGGGTTAGCTGCATTAGGCCATGGCACTGATCCCCCAGTAGCCATTTCAATAATTGTGCACCCAAGAGCCCATACATCACAAGGAAACCCCTGCTCTTCCCCACGCGCCACCTCTGGCGCCATAAACATTGGCGTGCCCCCAATTGGCACCGCCACTTCCCCCGCCGGATTAGCCCACCTGGCACATCCAAAATCAGCAATTTTTGGACCCTCGTCACCAACCAAGATGTTCCTGCCTTTGATGTCACAATGTACCAACCCATGTGAATGCAAGTACTCAAGCCCTTTCACAATGTCCCTTGTGTAATCTCTGATCAGTGAACCGTCAATTTGGCCTCCGTGGTTGCGAATTTCATCGATGATCGTGCCTCGGGGCATGTACTCCATGAAGAGATTGTACATGAGCTTGTTGCTCTCAC